GCGGTCGGTCTCCGTTCTGGAGGTAAAAGACACATAAAAACCTGCCATCAACTATTATAGTTACATTCGCATAACTTCCCTCATTCGGTACTCCAAACTCACCGAACGGGGGGCTGATTCATCTTCCCGTTCGTGAGTTATGGAGCTCTGGAGGTGTCAGCGGTGTTCGGGTAATCGAGTGTCCGATTTGAGTTCCAGACACACGACGACCAAACACAGCTGAGCCTTTCGTGCGTAAGATGGCCGCCGCCACCTGTTCTCATGCCGAATGGCTGCCACCCAGATACATCCATAAACTGCCCACTAGTCTGCTGTTAGCAAGTACTTTGCAGCTTAATGAGAGACACACTTCACTCTGGGGTGGTCTATTAGTTCGGTAATTGCCATTCGTATGAAATACAGATGGAAACTACCGAACAATCATACGAATGCCATTTACAATTAAATACAAAGCAGAAACAAAACACGAATTGCAGGATTCTCATAGTCTTTAAGGACAGCCGCAGTACCATCCGCTACACTGCTCCCCCTTGCCTACAAGCCGGCATACACAGTCTGATCCAACACGGATCGGCTTGGGGATGTCCGGGGATGCTCACGGATCATTTCTCCAAGTCTGTTTGTCTTGACAACCCGTCAGCGTTCCCATTCTGTTTGCCCGGGCGGTACTGAATGTTAAAGTCAAAGGGCTGCAGTGCCAAGCTCCAGTGCAGGAGCCTGGCATTGTCCCCAGCCACCCGGTTCAACCATACTAACGGGTTGTGATCCGTGAGCAAGGAAAAGGGCTGTCCATACAAATACGTCTGCAATTTTTTCAGGGCCCACACCACAGCCAGGCATTCCTTCTCGATGGCGGCATAGCTTACTTCTCTGGGTAACAACTTGCGACTGATGTAAGCCACGGGATGTTCTCCGCCATCGGCCCCGACTTGGCTCAGTACTGCTCCCAATCCAAACTTAGAAGCGTCTGTGTGAACAAGAAAACGTTTAGTTGGATTGCCAAGGCAGGGGCATCGATCAATGCCTGCTCACACTCCGGGGTCCAGGTTACTTGGCGGGGAAGGTTGTTACGGGTCAGGTCGGTCAGGGGTTTGGCCAGGGCGCTATAGTTAGTGACGAATTTCCGATAATACCCTGCTGTTCCTAAAAACGCCAACACCTGAAGCTGCAATCTGGATAAATTTGAATCATTTTTAGATCTTAACAAGTTTTTAAGAAAATTATGTTTAAAAAAGTTTTTTAATATTGTTCCAGAACCAGAAAACAATTCTTTAGAAAGTAATAGTATTTTTACCCACACCTCTTTAAAAACTAAATTTTCCTTTTATCCGGTTAGTTGTAAATCAGATGTAATGAAAACATTTGAGATGTTATGTTCCAAAATATTAAGAAAATTAAAACCATTAATAAATATCAAGAGAATTTAACACAAGAAGAAAAAAGAGCACTAAAAGATTTGAAAAATGATAAATCAATAGTTATTAAACCTGCAGATAAGGGTGAAGGAGTTGTGGTGTGGCAAAAAGAGAAATATTTAAGAGAGATTTTTAAACAACTTGAAGATGAACAAACATATAAAGAACTTTTAAGTAATCCACTTCCTGCAATTAAATTAAAATATAAAGAATTTTTAGATGAAGGTTTAGATACAGGCATTTTAACAAAAAAATAATATGAATTTTTAGACACAAAATACCCAAGAATACCGGTGATTTATGTACTACCCAAGGTGCACAAAGACGATACCAATCCTCCAGGCAGACCCATAGTATCCGGGATTGGATCGCTGCTGTTGCCTTTGTCTCAGTACATAGATCAGTTTTTACAAAAAAAGGTTACTGAATGCCCAGCATATCTAAAAAACACTATGAGCCTTCTGCAGATTTTAGATAATTTTAAATGGCATAACAACTTTATCATGGCCACTTGTGATGTAAAGAGTCTGTATACAATAATAAAACATGAGCACGGTTGTGAAGCAGTAACATTTTATCTAAAGAAAGCTGAAGACATGGATGACCTTCAAATTGATTTTTGAGTGAAAGGAATTGATTTTATCTTGAAAAATATTTTTTTTCTGGTTCGAGAATACATTTTTTCTCCAAATACAAGGAACGGCGATGGGGACCAGATTTGCCCCAAGTTATGCCAACCTTTTTATGTTCTTCTGGGAAGAAAAATTTATTTTCTCCAGATTGGACATTGGGGCAAATCTGGTCCTATATAAACGCTATATAGACAATATTTTTATTATATGGAAAGGCAGCAAAGAAACCTTAGAATAATTCATTGCCTCTCTTAATCTTAATTTTTTTAATATTAATTTAGCTTATGATATTAGCATGGAGCAAATACATTTTTTAGACCTTTTAGTATATATAGATAATAATGTAATAACGAGCAAAACTTTTTAAGACGGTCGATGTTAACAGTTTCATTAACTTGGAAAGTTGTAATTTTAGGCCCTGGTTGAGCAACATACCCAAGGGACAATTTTTAAGAATAAAAAGAAACCGTACTGAAGTAGCGGAATATTTTAAACAAGCGGATATTTTGAAACAAAAATTAATTGAAAAGGGATATGTCAAAGAACTATTGGAAAAAATAGAGAAAGAGATTGGGGAAGAAGAAAGACAATCACTTTTAAAATATAAGAATAAGAAAGAAAAAGAGAAAAAAATCCTCTTATTTTTGACTATAGCTCCAATAATTATCTATTACAAAAAGTGATCAAAAAACATTGGCATATCCTTAAAGAAGATCCAGATATCCTTCCTTTTTTAGACTCCCAACCAAGATTTATATTTAGAGGAGCGAATAATTTTAAACAAATTTTAACCAAAAGTTTTTTAGATAAAGAGAAGACCGGAACAGAAGGAAATTTTTTTAAGGGAAGTAAGGGTTTCCATAATTGTGGTACCTGTAGAGGCTGTACGTTTAGATTTAACAATTATAGAAAAGTAGAAAAGTTTTCATCAGTTGTTACGAAAAAAGAATATTTAATACAATCGTTTATCACTTGCTCCAGTGAGGATGTGATTTATTTGCTGAGTTGCCAATGTGGCTATTAATATATAGGGAAGACAACACGTACTTTATTTTATTTTTTTTGACAATCATTATTTTATTTTAATGAGGCTTTGAATACACGTGTACATACAGAAGATGAAAAAAAAGCGTATATATTCCAGCAAAGTACAATACATCCTGGTGCACTAACCCACAGTTTGCTGGTTAATATACCTTCCCTCAGCCTCAGTCTTTAGAGGAACAACAATTAGTAACTGTGAGATCCAAACATTGTAACATTTGCCTAGTAACATGAATATCAAACATGAATAGAAAGGTCGGGCTTAGAGTGGACTGTCTGGCGCGCTAGTCACTCCCTATCGCATCCACTACAGCCAAACAAATGGCCTGTTTTAGAACTAGCCCGTGTGTAGAGCTCAGAGTATATTCTGGAACTTCAGTCCCTTGTTTTACACCAATATGGACACGCTAGGGAACAGTCCGTGTATCGGCAGGCATCAGTCCATCGGGAAAGAGTGCCAGTGAAGCTCGAGTGTTCCGTGCAAGGAATATATTCTGGTACTACAGTCACTTGTTTTACGCCAATATGGTCGCGTCCGGGAACAGTCCGAGTATAGTCAGGTATCAGTCCGTATATAATCAGGTATCAGTCCGTGTATAGGCAGGTGACAGTCCGTGTATAGGCAGGTGACAGTCCGTGTATAGTCAGGTATCAGTCCGTGTATAGACAGGTGACAGTCCGTGTACAGTCAGGTGACAGTACGTGTACAGTCAGGTGACAGTCCATGTGTAGTCAGGCAACAGTCCGTAGGGGGAGAGTGCCAGTTAAGCTCGAGTGCTCCGTATAAGGCGTTGTTTTCTAAGTAGGAGATCGGGGGGGTAGGTAGAGAGAAAATCTGCCACGGCTGGGGGGGAGAGGGTCCGCCGACACACCTCCAGCCTCTATCCCAACCCCAAGTTTCCAGTCGGCCGCTCACCCACCAGGTCTCCCGCGCTCACCGTCCTGCCGATCTACGGGCCATGTATTCAATCCAGGGCACCCACAGTCGGGTGCATTTCTCCCCTGTCCCCCGTAGGTTCGCCGTGAGGCTCTACATGGTGTAGATTTCTTCTACTGCTTCCATCCAGTCTGATAATGTTGGTACCGTACGTGTCTTCCAGCGAGCCGGGATCAGGCTCTTGGCAGCATTCAGGAGGTACCTCGTGAGAGACTTTTTGTACGCACCCAGGGGCATCGTGGTATGGTGGAGGAGCATCTGGAGAGGCTGCATCGGCACGTCTGAGTCCAGGATCTCCCGTAGTTTGTTGTGTATTTGTTGCTAGAAGGCCGCTATATAGGGGCACGACCACCAAATGTGTAGGGATAGGCATTAGGCTATCCTAACTATAAGATAAGACTAGGGACTAATGAAAGTATAAAATTGGGTAGACTAGATGGACCGAATGGTTCTTATCTGCCGTCACATTCTATGTTTCTATCATCCGCCTCGAATCTCCAGCAGCTGGGCGTGGGTATCAGACCCATACGGAAAAGCCGGTAGGGCGTCCTGTACCAACTCGTCATGAGCTTGTAATTAAGCTCTTGCAGTTTTGCGCTGGTCGCGCTTTGATGAGCGAGGATGTGAATCTTCTCCCACTCGGAGTCCGGAAGGGAGACCCAGTCTCCCGCGGTCCTCCCGTCTAGTGTCCCCAGTCGGTCCAAGGAGTTGTGCGCGGAACCCATGCAGAAAGCCACGTGGCTGTCAGGTAAGGTGGTAATTATATCTGTGCCCGCTGTACCTATCTCTACCGGCCCCCGGCCGGTCTAAAGTGAAGTGAACCTATATCTATGTGGAGGTCGAATGGTTGCTGCTACTGTTAGACTTGCTACTATTAGGCAAGAGTGGGCCCAACCACCGCCTAGTCATACCCGTGGGCGACCCCCTATCAAGTGGAGCCCTATGCTGCATCGGTGGTCGCCCCAGGATCCTTCAGGCGTAGGGGCGGGTGCGTATGTGGGGAATGCGGAGGGTCCTCAGCGTCGGGGCGACATCATCAGGCCAACGGATATATAGCCACGAATTCCCATGCTTGATCTGAAGGCTAAAAGGGAACCCCCAGCGGTAGGGGACATTCTTCTCCCGAAGGGCAGCGGTAATGGGCCGGAGCGCTCTCCTGGCATCCAGTGTCAGGCTGGACAGATCCTGGAACAGTGCCACCTCAGCACCCTGGAACATGATCCTGTCAGTGCCCCTAGCGGTGACCATCAAAGACTCCTTCAATCTATAGGCATGCAGACAACACAGGACGTCTCTGGGTTTCCCATCCTGGCGTGGAGGGCCCAGGGCTCTGTGAATCCGGTCAAATTGAATATCTTCCGGGCACTCTTGGCCCAGGATGTGTCTGAAGAGGGCCCGCACCGTATCCTGCAGTGGGACCGCGTCCGGCTCCAGCAGCCCCCTGATCCGGATGTTCTGATGACGACTGCGGTTCTCCAAATCCTCCACCTGTCACCTCAGGGTTAAAAGGAGGTTCCCCTGCCTTGTGGCAGCTATTTCAGGCAACCTATGTTGTGAACGGATCGCCTGTGCCTCAGTCTCCAAGGCATCAACTCTTACCTCCACAGCAGAGAGGTCCGCCCGGATTGCAGAAATCTCCTCCCTGATTGCCGATCTGAATTCCTGCAGCAGGCTATTACTGTCAGCCTTCATGAGCATGTGTGTAGAGATCCAGGTAAGTTCTTGCCTGATCAAACACAGCGCGTCACTCCGGTCTCCCTCCTCCGACGAAACTCCCGCGCTTTCAGTCCTTGGGGATGTCGGCGCCATATTAGCTGCCTGCCTAGCTCCTCTAAGGTCCGCCAGCGTGGATACATAATCATCCAGGGTGCCGGTGTATCTGCGCGGAGAGCCGGTCGAGGGTGTCCCGTGGTGCAAAAGCTTCTTATTTCTGCCCATGTCAGTGCGGCGGTTGTCTCTAATTATTGCAATTAATAGGCCGAGGGCACGGAGCGCAGGCACTACGAGTCTGAGGCCACGCCCCCTCTCGACAACACGTACTTTAAAGACAAGAATAAAAGAGCATATTTATAACATCCAGAGAAAATTTGTCTAGAAGCTCACAATGGGGACCCAAACGGACTAGAATTTATAGGTATAGACAAGATTAATGTTCACTGGAGAGGAGGAGATAAAGATTATAAGTTAGGTCTAGCAGAAATTAAATGGATGTTCGAGCTAGATAGTATGATACACAAAAGGCTTGAACGTGGATTTTGAAATTAATAAGTATTTATAATCATGTAATATATATTTCTACGGTCTGCTTTTAACTGATAGATGGTAATTAGAATTTAAAGTTTTTTAAGTATAATATACTGTGCATTTTTTTAGATCATATATAGATATGTATATTTTTTAGGTTGTTCTATTTAAGTGCTCATTTTCTGTATTAAATATTTTATAAGATAAAAGATATGGTATTAATTATGTTCTTTTCTTTATTTTAGATAACTACATTTAATATAATATCTCCATCACTAATGTTTTAATTGATAATTTTTAAAATTTTAAGTTTTTTTGCCTTTATAACTGTATTTATTGGAATAATATAAGGTAAGATGGATATAATATCACTTATGGTATTTTTATATATTGGTCAATTAATAACACAAAAATGCAATTAGATTTGATGTATTATGTAATTTAATGTAGAATATTGTATCTTCTTTTTTGCTTTATTTTGCCAATTAAGTAATATTTTCATAAGAGGGTAACGTGGGACGTTTCACACACGTCCAGACGTATATACCGGAAACAAAGTGACCGGGACAGGAAGTGGCGTCAAAGCGTGAGGTCGCAGATGACGCTTGGATGCAGAACCCGGAAGTGAAGTGCCAGAATCACGGTGAAAAAGGCGCCATAATAAGCATTTAAAAGACTGCAAGCCACGAACATATACATCACCTCTGACGAAGGCTTAAAGCCTAAACGCGTCAGGTGCTGTGGATTCCTGTTTTTATTGGACTTTCTTTCAGTATTACTGAATTTTAATTTGTTTCCTGTTTTTCTGGAATAATAAATCGTTGTAACCCCTTGAATCTGCGTCCTGGAGGTACTTTACACAGAATACGGAGAAGGGTCCATTGCAATTCCAAATTGTTCAAGGCATGCAGTCTGAGCCAGCTTTTTAAGTGGCTCTTTATATGTGAGTGGGACCAATATTTGATACACAGTTTTAAACTTTATCACGCTATGTATTTTTTCCCTTGTTTTGTTTCAGGGAATAATTTGAATACCAATTGTGGGTAGTATTAATTTTATTTACTTGTGTGCTCTCATCATTACATGTTTATTTGTTTGTTGCTGTATTTTTAGGTCGTGATTGTGGCCCACCTAGGTGATTGTTGCACTATAATTTTTGTTTGAGAATTTTCACTATTGTATTTCTTTCTCTGGCTCTGCTTCTTCTCCCCAACTCCTCTCTGTTGGTGTCCCCCAAGGTTCAGTCTACTGTTCTCCATCTATACTGCCTCCCTTGGTAAACTCATTAGCTCTTTTGGCTTCTAATATCATTTCTATGCAGTTGACACGCAAATCTACCTGTCCTCTCCCCGTCCCTCTTGACTAGTGTCTCTGACTGCCTCTCTACTATTTCTAACTGGATGGCAGCCCACTTCCTTAAATTAAACTTGACCAAAACTGAAATTCAGGTTTTTCCTCCATCAAGTGTTGTTACTCCTGTGTCTGTCTCCCTCCAAGTCAATGGTGCTACCATCAGTTCCACAATGCAGGCGCGCTGCCTAGGTGTTCTCTTTGACTCGGACCTCTCCTTCAAGCCTCATGTTCAATCTATCGCCAAATCCAGTCATTTCCATCTCAAAAACATTGCGCACATCCGCCCCTATTTAACGCCAGATGCGACTAAGGTGTTGGTCCATTCCACTGTCCTTTCTCGCCTTGACTACTGTAATCCGCTTCTCAGTGGTCTTACGTGCTCCCAACTTGCTCCGTTGCAGTCCATAATGAATGCGGCAGCGAGCATCATCCTCCTGTCCGCCCGCACCTCCCATGCCTCACCCTTCTGTCAGTCCCTACATTGGCTTCCTATAAAATATAGAGCTCAATTTAAAATTCTGGTTCTTGCTTTCAAATCTCTACATAATGCTGCTCCCACCTATCCCTTATACACAAGTATGTCCCATCTAGGCCCTTACGATCTGCTGAAGACTTGCGTCTATCTTCTGTCCGTACTCCCAACTCTGATGCTCGTCTTCAAGATTTCTCGAGGGCTGCACCATTCTTGTGGAACTCGCTTCCCTCCTCCGTTAGATGCTCACCCAGTCTCGACTCCTTCAAAAAATCATTAAAAACCCACTTCTTCATAAAGCGTATCAATTAAACTGTTTATAGCTCTTGACTGATTCCTCTTCTGCAATTGTCACTAGTCTAATACTATCCTTACCTTTTTGTGTCATTTTACCCCACTCTCTCTAGCATGTAAGCTCATTGAGCAGGGTCCTCAACCCCTCTGTTCCTGTGTGTTCAACTTGTCTGGTTATAACTACATGTCTGTTCGTCCACCCATTGTAAAGCACTGCGGAATTTGATGGCGCTATATAAATATCATAATAATAATAAAGTTCAGCCTTCCTCACATCTGTTTTCTGCTGTTGATCCAAAACAAGGCAAAAAAAAACAGTTTGAAGCACTTCAAATTTTGCAACAAACTAAGAAAAAAAAATCATTCTTGACCACAGAATAGTCAGATTTATCCTTGGATCAAGAAGTTATTACCCTACATTGAAAAATTATAACCTTGAATATCCTGTTTTTGCAAGTATGCAAGTTGCTGTTTGAACATCTGTATGAAATCTGATAAAACCACTTCTTCAGGCTGAGAATTCCACATCCTTATTGTTCTTACAGTAAAAAAAACGTTTCTTTTCCTTAGACAAAATCTTCTTTCTACCAGTCTAAATGCATGACCTCGTGTCTTATGTAAAGTCTAGTTTGTGACTAGATTTCCACACAATGGTTTTTATTGGCCTTGAATATATTTGTATAATGTTATCATATCCCCTCTCAGGCGACGTTTTTCTAAACTAAAGAGGTTTAAATTTGTGACCCTTTCTTCATAGCTGATATGTTCCATTCCTTTTATTAATTTTGTAGCCCGCCTCTGCACTTTTTCTAGTGCCATAATATCCTTCTTTTGAACAGGTGCCCAAAATTGCACAGCATATTCAATATGTGGTCTTACCAGTGATTTATACAGAGGCAAAATGATATTCTCATCCCGAGAATGAATGCCCTTTTTCATGCATGGCAATGCCTTACTGGCCTTAGCCACTGCTGATTGACATTGCACATTGTTGCATAGTTTGTTGTCTATAACAATTCCCAAGTCCTTTTCTTGTGTTGTTATCCGTAATTTGCTTCCATTAAGGGTATATATTACTTGTGCATTCTTTACGCCGAAGTGTAATTTTTTCAATATTACATTACATTTCATCTGCCATTTGAGAGCCTAGCCCCCGTCTCTCTAAATCCCTCTGCAGCAAAGTAATATCTTGCTCACATTGTATTACTTTACAGAGGTTTGTGTCATCTGCAAACACTGAAACATGACTTTCAATGCTTTTTTCAAGATCATTTATAAACATGTTAAATTCAAGGGGTCCCAGAACAGAACCCTGAGGAACACCACTTGCCACCTCTGTCCAGCTTGAAAATTTACCATTAATGACAGCTCTTTGTACTCTATTTTTAAGCCAATGTTTTACCAAAGAACAAGCATTTTCATGAAGACCGATTTCTTTGAGTTTGAACACTAACCTATTGTGTGGAACTGTATCAAATGCAGCTATGAAATTCAGGACTTCGGCAATGCGGAACTTCGCACTTCTGCAATTTAAAGCTTCGGTAATTCGGACTTTAACCCCCCTAACCCAGTTTAGAACTTCGGCAATTCGAACTTCGGACATTTGTAAGCATCTGAATATCCGAATTTCACGAAATTTGTCCGATTTCTTTCGTAATTTTTTTTTTTGTTCATTTTATGTCTGAATCTACACCATGTTCTGATGGTGATGGGAATTTAGTGGTAAGAAAACTGTTAGGCATTGCCTGTCTTCAGAAGGTAACTTCTTCAGCTTCACCTATAGCTGCACAGCCACAAGACATGCTAGCATAGCTGACAAAGGAAAGTTGCAAGGTATTTTTCTGAATGTACACCAGGTTTTGGTTCTGATGAGAAAGCAGTGTAAGAAAACAGTTATGCTCTGACTGTCTCCATAAGGTAGCAGCTTCAGCATCACCTATACCGGTGCAGCCACATGACAGGTGGGATAAGGCTACCGCTTGACAACTCGCTTTTACGCAAAACTGGACGTAGACCTGTCCAAATTTATACGTCTGCTGATGCAGGTTGTCATCCAGCTGTAATTTTCACTGCTGTTTCTAGAACCATGAAAAGAGTGTTTAAAGATATAATGCTACTGTGGATAGAGCTATTAAGAGCCAAGATTGAAAATGCAGTCTGGAGTCTTCAGGTTACAAGTGACTTCTTCACAGAAGCTTCCTTAGTTGTAACTAGGATATTCTCTCAAACAAATGGCGTTATCTACAGCATTTGGGAAAGCTTTTGATGAATTCACTTAAAGGCAGCTGAGGGCAAAATACCTTTTGTACCTCAGGACTGAAGATCCAAGAATCTGGCTCCTCAGGGTCAGACAGGAGAACCTCCAGTGACCAGTATTTCTGTGATACATTACTGACCCTGCAGGTTAGACTCAAGGGGTAACTCGTGGCAGTTGGTAACCTGCCTTTCAAGGTTCTAATAAAGCTATGAAGCAGTCATTTTGCTCTTCATCAATTAACTTGTGTCTGTTCTCCAGTACTAGGAGCCTTATTTATTCTGATCAGACATACCTGGGCTCGTCACATTCTGGAAACTT